TGGATCGGTATTTAATTAGTAATTAATTAAAGATTTATCTAAAAAAAAAAGAAATTATTTCTCGCTGCAATTCAAACAGTATCGAAAAGTAATAAGAAAGAGAAAGATGGCTTCCCTCGTAAAACGAGTTTTATTTTTTCTCGAATATAGCGAAATTTATTTTTTGTCGTAAAGGAAAAAATATTTTTAAACGAACGCTCTGCGAAACGAGGTGAAACTCCATCGAACGTTTCTTTTTAAATCGAGCGATACTCGCATTGCCATTTAACATTAAAGAGTATATCTATTAAAACGCACGCTGTTTTCAGTCGAGTGGTTGAATTTATTCGTGACCCAAGCTCAAGTCGTAAATGATCATCAGGATTAAACATGTTAAGAGAATAATTATGAATTTATATCGGGACTATTTGGATGTTATTTGAAAAGAAAAAAACAAGATAATTATAAATGATGTAGAATATTCGTGTTAAACAAATTTTGTTTAAAATTTCATCGATTAAGTCAAAAAAGATTTAAACGATTTACGAGGAAAGGTTATGGTTCGCCAGGGAGGAAATTCAAAGAGAAATTTCTATGGTGCGTCACGATCAGGAAGAAATGATTTTCAATCGAAATTTATCGGCGCGACCGGCACTGAAAAAAAAAAAAAATGAAAAGGGGGACACAAAAGCCGCCGCAATTACTGCTTCCGTTTTGCCCGTTCTACCGGATGTCCTATTCATACTCGTCACTATGAGCGCCGTTACTTCCGTCATTGTAGTTACGGATCTACGACCGATTGTAAATCATTCTCTTTCTAGTCTTTCTTTCACATCTTCCGTTTTATAATAATCGACACGATGCGACGTTTTACGCGATACAAACAATTGGCATGAAATTCGTTTAATCTTTAAATTTTCAAAATTACGTTTATAAATAGTGAACGAAAATAATGATTTCTTTCAACATCAATTTAATTATTACTTTTAAGTGTCATTTCCTAAATTATATTATTTAGAAGAAATTCTATTTCAGATAATTTTCAATCGATTAATTTTTAAATAAAAAATAGATATATGAAACAGCTGATAGTGCATAAATTATTCACCGATTATTTTCAGCTGTTTCTAAAACTCGCATCGAGATACGATGGCGTCTCGAGATTCTCAAGATCGAACGTGTGATAAATTCTATCCGGCAAGACTGAGATTATAATGGTGGCCGCGAGCATGACAGATCTAGATCATAACACGTACCTCCGTGAATTATGGATACAAGATGGTATACCTGGGCTGTAATTGAGTTTGAAAATGATGTAGTCCCGTGAAAGATTGCTCCTGAACATCTGTTTACGAAACAAAAGGTCTCCCTTTTCTTCGTCTTCGGTTCAAAAACTTCGATTCCTTGCGAGCATAAAATAATCGATTATGTGCATTCTTTTTTGTACTTGTTTAAATTAAAACTGAAAGAAGAAAAATCTTGTAAATACTTCTTTACGAAACAGAAACTGTTCTTTCGTTTCTTTCACTGATTATGAATAATTGTTATTTATTTTAAAAAATAAAATTTTCAACTTGAAACAATAATGATCATTATTCTTGAAAATCTGATTCGAGAATCGTGTATCTTCAAGTATCATCTTCTAGTTTTTTTTTTCTTTTTCGTTAGTCATTTGAACCTCGTGGTTAGAGAGACAGTGCAAATTCCATGGATTTGTCAAGCTCACGTTTCATCGTATTCGAACGACAGTGTTTTACGTGCTAAGGAAAAGGAAGAGGTTAGGAGGAGCCCGGTTACAAGCACGGAGAAATGATCGGAAATTGTTAAAGACTGTTTCCAAGTGTAGCCACTCGGATACTTATGCCAATTCCTTTCCAGGATGCAATTTCCTGTTCAGCTTCCGTACGTCAACCCTTTTATTATTGATTAAAGACGAAGAACCCTCCGGACACAGCGACCTTTCGAAGAGACGCTTCACCGATCGTGAAGAAAATTATTTTTTTTCGATTCCAAGAAGAATTTTTAACTACTGTTTATAAGTCATATAAGAGAAAAGTTTATTGTAAAAAAGTAAAATCGTCTTTAAAAAAAAATAAGAATTGATTACCAATTACTCGAAAATTAACCTAATTTTTCTTGATCATCAATAAAAAATGAAATCCCTATGCAACTCAATTATGCAATTTGAATTTTTTTTAGTGACTGAATTGTTACTACGTTAAATATCATTATTAATATCATTATTAGTATCATTATATGATATCATATTGATATCAAAATATATAAAAAGAAATACTAACCTCAAGTGCCAACTGACCCGAGCAGCTCGAAGTTACTTTAAGGGATAGCATATGTCGTATGTGTAATGAACTGATCAGATAATTTGACAATGACAACACGATGCTGAAAAGATCACTATTATTAACCCCTTTGATGGGACTTGTCTTACTCGCAAATTGACAAGGTGCATCCTTACGTGATGGTCGAGCTCGTATTACGCGACCGATAAAATGACACTACCTACAAATTCATATGTCTGCTACTTGAGTCTTTTGAAGAATTATCTATATATAATTAAATTTTTATATTTTTCGTTGTTTTTTTCAAGTTATTTTTAAACCGAAATCGAATTAATACAACATTTTCTATATATAAATCAATATTTTATAATGTTTTTAATGTATTAGTATAGTAATAAATATAATCAAAAGAGAGACAAATAAATCTGAACTTTAAAAGAATAAAAAGTTTTTTGTAGTTTCATCTTTGTTGATACTAATGGATTTATATTTGACAATATGCCAGAATCATAATTTCTATGAAAATATTTAAAATATGAAAAAAGATTTAAAGATTTAATTACAACTATGTAGATTTTATATTGCTTTTCTAATGATTTTGAAAATGTTTATTCATATTAATCAAGATTTTTACAAAGAAAGAGCTTCGAGGATAATATTACCTTTAATTAAGGAACTCGTATGATAGTTACTTGTGAAAGATAATGTTCGCTGAGAGGAAAATAATTAAGAAAAATAAATAAAAAAAATAATTAAATGAAAGAATTCGATTATTATTTTTTACTTATTTTTAATATTAATTTATTCTTAATATTAAAAAATTCATTGTTAAATTAATATTTAATTATTGTTTTTAAAACTTATAAAAATTCTATAACCTTAAAATTTTAATCTAAAAACTCTTACAATATGGTACATACTTCGAATATTTGACATTACTTCATCTCGATCAAATTTACTTAGTGTTGTCGCTAAGGAGAAAATAAGGTAACGAAATAAAAGAAAAGAAAAGATGAAAAAGTTTCACAAATGAATGGAGCCCGGTGCAATGATGCACCTGATGGCTTGGTGACTGTTGGCGCGTGCCAACAAACAGCGACAGCTGTCAGCTGCGACAAAACTATACCACTGGACCGAATCGTTTTTTTCATTACAAACGACGTTCTTCGTGCCCTCTATCTTCATTAATTTCAAACGATGTGGACTACTATAGATATGGTAAAATAAACGTATTAATATCATAATAGAACATTCTGTGCGTGTAAAAGATATTCTTCGAAAAATAAAAATTATTATTGGAATTATAATGATTTTGATTAACTCGAAAAAATGATTGTGTTTAATAAAATAAAAGATTTTTTCTGCCTCTATATAATATTAAAAATATCTTAACCAAAATTATTCTTATTACTAACCTAACCTAATAATTTAAAGACATGAAACTTTGTATTATAATACAAAATTAATTCTGAAAAAAAAAAATTTAATTAGCTTGAATATTCAAAAGAAAATAATCGAAAGAATATTCTTTGAGATCGTTATTTGCATCTGAAAGAAGATCAAGCGGTCGTTTATAAAAATTCATGAAGATGATAAAGATGATAAATAAAGCTAATGGTAAAGTTATAAAAAATTCTTAGCAGGTTGATTGTACGTATTTTCTGCTGTATCTCGATCGATGTTTGAGAGATTATAAAAGAAAGGCACAAGGTGTTCCCATAGTCAGGTGGTTTTATCCTGTAGCACCTGTTCCTTGAAGCTATGCTGTAAATTTAGAACAAAATGACTTTCAACTTTATATATCATATATCATATAATATTAGATTGTTTAATTAAAAAAATAACTATAACGTTATATGCATAGTTTAAAAATTTATTTATTTTAATTAATTTATCCACTTTATTGTTTTTATTATATTTACATAATATATTCATATATTGAAAAATGGCATAGGGAATGAATAATACAAAAATAAATAATAAACATATTGAAAACATATATTTATTATTTATTTATTTTAATTAATTTATCCACTTTATTGTTTTTATCATATTTATATAATATATTCATATATTGAAAAATGGCATAGGGAATGAATAATACAAAAATAAATAATAAACATATTGAAAACATATATTTATTAAAAATAAATATATTAGAACATATATCAATTAAACTGAAATTTTCATTTAACTATAAATAAATACATATGTGTTATAATAATATTTTATTTTTTAATAATTTAAAAATTTATATAATAATTTTTAAAATTAATTAGGATTTTGTAAACGCGTGGGAAGTAAAACCATAATATAAAATATATAAATAAATAAAAAATTATATTCTTGCAAAAGAAATGAAATTAACATAATTTAATAAACATGGTTTTAAAATTAATTACAAATTCTGTTACATCTGCCGCTACAAATTTGTTCGAAACCGGTTTGCTTAACGATTTCTCGTTGAAAATTTTTTTATCCGAACTTTATAATTTGTCTTCTAAATAAATCACTATCACGTTTCTCGAAAGTATCCTTCATTCTCTCGAAATTGAAACCGTATACCGTATACTTCTAAAAGGTTAATCGATTAAAAAATCTCAAAAATTCGAAAAATGTCGAGATCATTGAAGAAAGCTCGATGTGTAACAATTAAGGGCAACATGAGCCTCCAATGTTCATCGAATTCTCTCCGATCAATCGTGTTTATCGTTGTTCCAGGTGAACGAAGCGAGACCACGTATCAGGCATCAGAAGGGCGGCAGTCATTGCAGCAGATGCGGTCCAGGATGGGGTGTTGTGAACCGTTGCGTTCGTGGTCGTGATACTGAATGTGGAAAATGTGCACCGGGCACCTATAGTCCTCACCACAGCATTCAGCCTTGCTGGATCTGCTCTAGATGTGGTCCGGGTCTCTACGAGGCGCATCCTTGCACTTCAAAAACGGACACCGTCTGCGATTCTTGTCACAGACCAGCTCCAGATAATCCTGATTACCAGAGAAAATGCAAAGGGCGAACAAATTTGTTCCTGGCTCCGGAAGATGCGTTAGAAACTGGAGAAGAGAGTATCTTGGTAAATGATCCTGATGGGCAAGACCAGTTAGACGATGGAAAGGAATTGCTAGAGAAGGATGCTGAAGCGGCCATTCTTAATGAAGAATTGAATTCTTTGGAAAGGTTCTAAATGTAAAATCTTTGATTATTAAGAGGCAGTTTAGTCACTGCCGTTACATACTTTGCTTCCGTTTTTTACATGGAGACAATTTATAAAGAATTTTTTTGTGGAGAATTATTGTGTTCAATGTGAACAAAATTGTTTACCATTTCTATTAAATAAGCGATTCCTTCCTATTAAAAGTTGTAAGTAGAATTACTTGCATAAGAAGAAAGTTCTTTTTGGACGATTTAAAGTTGATGATTGATTTTCGTGTATTAAGTTATAACTTAATTACTTGTCAATTTTGGTGCTCATTTTTTCAACTTTCTTATTGTTTTTTTCTTGTATATGATTACTAATATGTATAATTCTTCGAAGTGGAGATAATCGACTTGAACCGATCTCCGATTACTAGTCAGTTAGTTACTAAGTAGTCAATAAAATATAATATACGAAATTAATATGAATTTTATTTTCGTTTAATTATTAAAGTTGAATTTTATGGTGTATATTATTGTAAACACTACGTTTTATTGAATAATACGTGTATCGCACCTTTGATGTCAATAATTATTTATAATATAATATTTCTAGTTTATTATGCTGTTATATATTCATTTTTATGAATATTTTAGATGACATATTTTAGATGACATCGATTTTATATTTTCTTTTCAAAATGTTTTAAAGATTCGGACATAAAGAAATGAGACCTAAAAAAAACTTTTTTTTTAAGATTCAAAAATGTAAATTACCATTTATGCATTCAGCAACTTGGGATAAAGAGCATCCTGATTGTAGATCCTTGAATGATACAATGTACACTTAGAATTTAAGTATATTTATATACTCAAAGATCTCTTTAATATTATGCGAATTTTTACTTTAAAAAAAAAAAAAAAAGAGTCCTCCTTTTTTTTTTTGTTAAGAAATCTGGAGAACTCTTTTATTTCTAAAGTAAATTTGTATATCTGCGTATTAATATATTATTATACTGTTCAAAAGTTTGGATTAATTAATTAATTAATAATTAATGTTACATAACTTAATTCAAGAAACATTTTATCTTAGATTACAAATTTTTACAAGTTTTTAATAAAAGTTTCTTTAAGAGAATTCCAGACTTTTGAAGAATAATGTACATATGTTCAAAAATTACCAAACATTTTTCTCACTGTATGATCTCTTTAGAAAGATTTCTTATTATAAAATGAGCGAATTTTAATGTGAAATCATGTGTATACACGCCGCTAGAAATTACTCATGTATACAAAGCGTGTAAATACATTTCTGTAAATATAAGAATAATAACGATGATTAAGTTAAGAACAATAACGATATGATTAAGTTGTTATTAAAATTTGTGAATAGAAATCTCCGATTATAATTGTAATGTAATCTTTTTTTTTTTTTTTTGATTCCTCGTTCGAGATATATTGATTTTATCTTCAATACTTTTATGCAAAAAATACAACTTTTGTAATTTCATTATCGAAATATTGCAGGGAATATAAAAACATTGTTTTCCATACAATCATTAATGAATCTTAATAATTTCGAATAGAAATTTACCAAAGTACCATTATATTTTCTATATCCGTTTTATTTATTTTCGTCAATGTTCATTCCATCGATGGACGTGGCCGCAAGAAACACGTCTATTATGACACAATAAAATACAGATATAATAATCTATATAAATTCTTTCTTCTATTACAACCTTCTCCTCTATTATATTCACGCTCGAAAAATCATAGAAAGAGTCTGTCAATATGTATACTTATATATTTCTTCGATGCTCAAATATATACGTTTAATTAGTGTTACTATTGTCGCGTCTTGACGAATGTATTTATATCGGATATAATTCGTCAAATATCATTCGAATTATTATGCACGGTATAATAACGATACGAATACATATACTATATTATAGTATAATCATATCATTTTATACATAATGAAAAAAAAATAAAAACAATTGCTCTCGAAATTCTAAAGGAGGATATATGAATAATTTGACGATAGCTTTATTTTTTATTTGCTTTTACCTGTAAATACGATGCGATTCTCTACTTGCATTGAGAACGATAAATCGTATCTGAAATTAAAGATTACAAATATTCAAAAATCTCGATCGATAACAGTAGTTTTGCAGTAATATTAAAGTTTAAATATTTAAAATTTTAGATGAGATTCTAATTTTGTTTAACTTTACGTTATCACTGCTATCACTTTATATCAATATAATTTTTTTTATAATAAGTTTTAAATTTCATATATTTACGATTTTTAAAAAAATTTTATTTATTTTATCTTATAAAGATAATTTCAATCAATTGATAGCAATGGAAACGTATATATTGTAACTATACGAACGAAAATCTCTAAAAATTTAGTTATCTCACAAATAAATTTGTTCATGTGATTAAAAATCATTACATCGATCATAATAATGTTGATTATATTCCATAAATTTATAATACTTCATAATTGATGTCGTTACATTCTCGTGCGCTGTTATCTATCTATAAAAATAAATTATTGCAAAATATTCCATAATACGTGTGGTAAGATACAATACAAATAAAATAATCCTCGCATTGATTTAACTGTATTAATACTCTGTACTAATTAAGCTAACCTTAGCTATATGTTATCTATCTCTCTAAGGAACTTTGGAAATACATACAAAACATTTATTTTTCAACTATTTTTTGTCTTGTTAAGTGTACGTATCGTTTTCTTTAATGATGAAAATTTCAAAATTGTATTGTAGTACATATGAAGTATTTTATAACCTATATATATTATATACCTTTTTTAAATATTAAACATAACAAATATTTCTTTGTGTCAAACTTTGCTTTTGTTTTCTTGTAATCCATACTTGATATTATCGAACAATTGTTACATAAAAAGTATCAAAAACGAGAATTGAATCAATTCTATTGCTATTGACAACACATTGTAACATGGAACATATTCCAGGACTCAGGACGTTCTTGAAGTTAGGCATAAAGATAATTCGCGAACACAATTCACTGGAACATTGTCGAGCAATTTATAACGTTCTTTAAACAGTCGTATAATTTGTTTTTCATTGACATAATGTGGACCCCGTAGAAATTTTTATACTTTCAAAATCGAAGAAGAAACTATGATTTTTCTTCTTTCTTTTCGATTATTTTGGCACGATGTTTAAAAGCTTCGAATGCTAAGCTAAAAAAAGTCTAAAAAAAATATTCTTAATTTCTCTATGCTATAAAGGATTTGATAAAAAAAAATTCGAAGAAGAATTCGGAAAGATATTCGAATTATCGCGCACTCCAGAGTTTGATTTGATATTATGTAAGAATACAACATATATATGTATATTTTAATTTTATATATATAGAATTTTTCATTTTTCATTTTTCATAACGACAATTCGAACAATTTTTATGCAGAAATGTGTTTGTATTGTTCGTTGTATTTTTTAAAGCGAGAGATTATTTTGAATCCTTTCTCCCTTTATTCTTATAAGTGTATGAAGTGATAATCGGAGAAAAATTTTCTTTGTTAATAATCCGATACGACTTTTATAGTTGTTCGATAATTCTAAAATTATATAAATCATAATTCGAGATAAATTTATATTGACAATTATTCTTAAAAGGATTGAATCGTGATTTTCTCATTGACATATTGTCGATTATTCAATATTTAACAATAAAATAAAATTATATGTTCGGCTCAGACAGGGCCAATATTAATACAAAAGCTAGTCGAATAATCGAGAGAGCACATGTACGACATTATATGTATAGTTTAATAATATAAATCAATAGCATTTTACAAACGTACATATATGTACAGCTAAACGGATACAAAATAATGCTCGCAGAAAAATCGCAAAAGATTGATTTAATTAAAGTGAATGTTATCGATAATGGGAAAAGAAATAAACGTAAAAATTATTAAGTAACTTGAAAATTTTTGAGAATTTGCCTCGTGTAAAGATTAAATGTAGAAATTTTTCTTACAAAATATGTTATTAGAAAACGATCACTATGCTTTGTGCGATGCACATTAAAATAAATCTTAAATCAAATAGAGATAAACAAGGAACTATCATTTTCAATGGCTTAACGAATTATAACTTTTAAACATGATTATTACATACTTTTATTTCATACATAATCAACATATGAGTAAAAAATTTCTATGATATTTCTAAATTTGGTCACTTTTCAACAAATATGACTATATAATGTCACAGCCATAAGTGATTCATACAACATCATACGAATTTACATTCATGTACACATATATGTATTTAATTTTCTTACAAGATCTTATTAATTCTAAAAAAGTTGCAATGTATAAAAGGTATAATTGGTATTCAATTTCGCAGACCTGAAATATTCATTAAGAAACATCAAAATTTCTAGTAAATATAGATTCAAAAATTATTAGTTGTATTACAGAAAAATATTGTCAATGGATTATTTGCTTGTTTTGTCTAATTCTAATTAGTTAATTTCAATAGTTCATTATTTTTTATCATTTTTAATAATAATCATTTATAATAATATTTAAATTCAAATTTTTTAGAAATTTTTAGAAATCATTTATTTTGATATGCTATTTATTCTTTTTTAACACATTTTGTATAAAGAAAGCAAAATAGAAAAAAAAATATAATGTTTAAAGATGTTTTTGAATCTTAAAAATTGATCATCACTTTAGATTTTAGTAAATTTAAATATTTATTTCCATAAATTCATTGAATATTTTTGAAATATCAAATATTAATTTGTACATACAAACATAAAAGCGTTTAAAAAATATTCAAAATTATATAAATGATACGTTAAGCCATTGAAATCTATTTTTTTCTATTTTAATCAAATATTTCTATAATTAAATAATTTGCTACATTAAATCTATACACGGAAAATTAATAAGATGTAAAAAAAAGACAGAGAGATAAAGAATCGATTTACCGGAATAAATCTCTGTAGCATTGTAACAAAAGCATTTCATTAATATGTCACGATTACCATTCGATAAGGATACCGTAACATAATAATTTAACAATCGTGCGTCATTGCACACATCTCAATAATTCGTATTATATATGTATACATATACATATGTACAAGATGTTCATTATAATGGTCACCATAATTTTTCATATTTTTCTGCTAATTCTACGAGGAAATATTTTGAACAAAAGATAATAATTTATTATAATCAATACTCAATTTGCAATAAATAAATAATAAAAATCGCAATAATAAAAATTTTAAAAAAAATTCATCAAAGATTATTTCAAGATCATCTGATAAATTATTGAATTCATCTTGATAATAGCTATAATTCCATAAAATTAAAAATATATGATGCTATTTGAAAAAGTCAAGATAACTTTGATTTTTTATAGAAAAAAAATTAATATGTCTAAATGTAGATAAGTATAGACAACTGAAAACTGATTAACTTTTATTCAAAACATTTTTTTAACAGATTATCAGAAATATTTAAAAA